TTCCATTTCTGTCCTTATTATCAGTAAATTGGCCGCGATCCCAGGGAGCTCGTTCAACTGGCCCAAAACTTTCTGCGCACCGAGTCAGATTTTTTGCTTTGTTGGTGTGCCATGACTAGGAACAGGCCGTTTGAAGCTCCCTTTTAAGTTTCTAGACAATTTGGCGGCACAGGAAAGAAAGCAACTTATATATCCTGAATAAAACAAGCCAAAAAAAATATATACATATAAATGTCTATGATTGTATGTTTTTCTTCTTCGTTTTCCCACGAGGAAAAAAAGCATCGCCTGATCGCTGGAGATAGGATTCAAAATAGGCTCTCTTCCGTTTTTCTGTGGAAGTAAGGGTTGTTTTGTTTTGTTTTGTTTTAAAAAGACGCTTTAAAGAATGCAGCTGAGATTAACCCCAGCGGCTTTGATTTCTACGGATATTCAAGAATTGGAGCAGACTCCCTGCGTTGGAGAGGTGGGGAGGGAGGAAACAAATCAATTTCAGTTATTTTTTTTTAAAAATAAAAATAATTATGGTCTCGGCATTGGACGTCGAGCTTAAAGAGGCTCTTTCAAAAAAGATAATTGATAGATAGATAGATGATAGATAGATAGATAGATAGATAGATAGATAGATATAGAGATATAGAGATAGATATAGAGAGATGAGAGAGAGATATCTAGATAGAGATAGAGAGATAGAGAGATTTATTTATTTATTTATTAGTCATATTTTTGTGCTGCCCACTCTCCGAGGACTCTGGGCGGCTTACACCAAAGACAGTACACTAAATAGCATATTGCCCCCTAACAATCTGGGTCCTCAGATAGGTAGGTAGGTAGGTAGGTAGGTAGGTAGGTAGATAGATAGATAGATAGATAGATAGATAGATAGATAGATAGATATAGAGATATAGAGATATAGAGATATAGAGATATAGATACAGAGATATAGAGATAGAAATAGAAATAGAAATAGAAATATAGATAGATAGATGATAGCTGGCTAGCTAGCTAGATATAGAGAGAGATAGATAGATAGATAGATAGATAGATAGATAGATAGATAGATAGATGATAGATAGATAGATCTAGAGATCTAGAGATATATATAGAGAGAGATCTAGATAGATAGATAGATGATAGATAGATGGATAGATAACGTAGGTAGGTAGGTAGGTAGATACAGAATAAAAGATTTGGAAGGGGCCTTGAAGGATAGATTCAGCTTCCTGATTAAATTTGTATGTATGGAAGTTAGGTAGGTAGATAGATAGACAGACAGACCGACCGACAGAGTTGGAAGGGACATTGTAGGTCATATAGTCCACCCCCACCCCACCCCACCCTCCAAAGCAAGAGACCTTACACCATTTCTGACACAATTACACTTGGGACCAGATTTTCCGCTGCTAAGCAAGACGCTTTTTAAGCGAGTTGTGTCCATTTTGTCCACCTTTTGAGGTGGGGATGGTTGTTAAGCGAATTACTGAAGCCGTTAAAGTGAGCCGTGCGGTCCTTAAGTGAATCTGGCTTCCGTCTTTGTCTTTGCTTGTCGGACACTGACTGGGATGGTCGCAAAAGGGGATCCCGTGCCGATTGTCAAGCACCAAATTTTGATCCCGTGGTCCGTGGGGGGGTCTTTTTTTCCGTGCCGTTGTAACTTTGGATGACAGTCGTAAGTCGAGGATTTGTCTGTACAGGAGGGATCAGCGAGTCGGTCTCTGCGTTTTTGAGGGCATTTCATCTTGGAAAGCAAAACAATTTTTAGCAAAGGCAGGTTGAAGAAGTAGGCTGCAGATAGGACGCTGGCCATGTCTAAGGATTCAACATGCCCAGAAAAGAGATTTATCTTCTAGAAGATCTACTTAGGATTTGGTTTTTAATCCAAAGCAATTTTAGAATGTTTTCCCTCTCAGCCCTGAAGACATTAATTAACGACACCTGACTTGTTATCAGGCGCCAAAAGTTAATTGCTAAGAACTGGAAAAATCAGTTTCGTTACGTGGAGGAATTAATAAAATCTGACAATTAGCAGAGATACCCGTACTTGCTGTGTGGTTAGACCGAGAGATCTTGAAGGGAAGAATGCTACATGATTGAAAGGACAGGATTCCTTCATTGTAAGAAACTTTACCAATAAAGGAGAATATTTGTAGCTCAGGATTGAAATGAGATGTCCTTAGTGCTCTCTGAGCTTGGTGATTTTCTTGGAGACGTTTCATGACCCAACTAGGTAACAACATCAGTGCTAGAAGGGAATGGAGTTCAGAGAGAGGAGGTGGTATTCAGCCGGTTTGTTGTGTTGTGGCTTGGCGACCTACGAAACCGGCCCATGTGGATCCTTTGACAATATAGGGTGCCAATCCCCAAAAGAGCTAAGTTAGCAATTAAGATAAGCGTGTTATGTAAAACCTGTTGGTTGTGAGATGCCTTTCGAGTACACAAAACAGCAATTATCTCAGTTTTATTTTTGTTTTTGTCTCAAAACTGCAAGCTTTGGCTCAAATTGTTTCCAACCTCACTTTTGTTTAAAAAAAACAAAGACACGGTTTGTTTATTCTTTTGAAAAAGCTAAATAAATTGCATTGAAAGGGAAGGTTACTTCCCCATCCCCGATACACTTCGTTCCAAAGCAAGCCACGTTTTGATTTAGCCCATCACGGGAACTTAGTTAGCCGTGAGCTTTTTCATTTCGTTTGTTTCTGTACACATTTGCTCCTGAATCTTGGTAACTTTATGGAGCCTGGTTGTGCCAGGGCTGTCTACCTGCCTGTAACTATTACGGAGTTGTAATAAACTTCTATTTGTGTCATTATCAGCGATAACATCGGGTCAGCCTGTCTTTTGAATCCTTTCCAGGTTTCCAAACATCAAAGTCCAGGAAGTTATAAATGAAGGATCTGCTGGTAGTCTCCATAAGAAAGGAAGAAACAAAAGAGGGAGGAAGGAAGAGAAAGAGAGAGGGGGGGGGAGAAAGAAAGAAAGAAAGAAAGAAAGAGGAAGGGAGGGAGGGAGGGAGGGAAGGAAGGAAGGAAGGAAAGAAAAAGAAAGAAAGAAAGAAAGAGAAAAAGAAGGAAGAAAGAAAGAAAGAGAAAGAAAGAAGAAGAAAAAGAAAGAGGAAGGGAGGGAAAGGAAGGAAGGAAGGGAGGAATGAGGAGGGAGGAAGAAAGAAAGAAAGAGAAAGGAAGGAAGAAAGAAAGGGAGGAAGGAGGAAGGAGGGAGGAAGGAAGAAAGAAAAGGGGGAGAGAGAAAGAAGGAAGAAAGAAAGAAAGAAAAAGAAGAAGAAAAAAAAAAGAAAGAGGAAGGGAGGGAAGAAGGAAGGAAGGGAGGGAATGAGGGAGGGAGGAAGAAAGAAAGAAAGAGAAAGGAAGGAAGAAAGAAAGGGAGGAAGGAAGGAGGAAGGAGGGAGAAGGAGGGAGGAAGGAAGAAAGAAAAGGAGGGAGAGAGAAAGAAGGAGGAAGGAAGAAAGGAAAGAGGGAGGGAAGTAAAAGAAAGAGGAAGGAAGGAAGAAAAGAAAGAAAAAGGAAGAAAGATGGATAGATGGAGGTCCCCCTAGCTTGGAGCAGCTGGTGACAAAAATTTCCAAATTTTGTTCAGCTTCCTGCCACCTCGTCCCCCACTGCCATCGCCTAAGCTTTACCAATTGCTTGTATTTTCTTCTTTCCCCGGTTTGAGGCTGGCGATCGCCAGTGATGAGATTAAATAAATTAGATTTTGTCCTCCTGCCTGCTTATCCCCTCCATCTTAATGCGTTTAGAGGCCAAGGAGAACGGCGTTTTGTTCTCAGAAGGGAGGCATCCATCGCTGGGGGCACCCGAAGACCTTCCTGCGATACAGACTCAGTTGGCCCTAATGTGATTGAAGAGATCTGTTTCCAATAAAATTAGGAGCTATCCAGGACGACGGTGGTTTTTTGCGGATATTTGGCTTTCGGGTTAATTCGATTTCAAACAGAGCTCCAGCACGACGGAGGCCCGCGGCATTCTTGCTTTTTCACTTTTATCAATTTAGACCAGAGGTCAGCAACCTGCAGCTCTGGAGCCGCATGTGGCTCTTTCTTATTAAAATTTATTTAATCATTTTAAATTTTTAATTAATGTTTGTCTTGTGTTTTTAAATAGGCTGTACACACCGCCCTGAGTCCTTCGGGAGAAGGGCGATATAGAAATAAAATTATACTTATACTTAATTATACTTTCACCCCTCTGCTGCGGCTCCCTGTCACTCAAAATATGCATCCCAACCGCCAATCTACGACACCCACCGGTACGCGATTTATTGAGCTTTTCAACCTCCGGCAGGCCAACCATGGATAAATTCAAGAAAAGTTTCAGAAGAAAACAGAACATTTAATTCAACTACATATGGTAGTTTTGTGGCCGCTCGAGAAATAGTCAGGCACAGGAAGGTTTTTGTGGCTCCCGGTGTTTTCTTTTCTGTGGGAAACGGGTCCAAATGGCTCTTTTGAGTGTTTAAGGTTGCAGACTCCTGACTTCTGCGGCTTCTCAGTAGAAAATGGATTTTTGAAAGGGATCCCTTGAGTCTTTTAAACTATTTTGATCCAAGCCGGGTCAGGAGTGACTCGGTATTTTGGAGGCGAATATTTGTAGCTCGGGGGTTGAAATGCAAGAACCGTCGGTGCTCTTCGAGCCTGGTGGTTTTCTTGCAAACTTTTCATGACCCAAACTAGGTAACGTCGTCAGTGCTGGAAGGGAGCAGGGTGTGTGGAGTGGAAGAGATGGAGAAGAAGAGGGAGGGGGGGAAAGGACTCTGGAGTCTTCAATGCTCTCTGAGCTACGTTGCTTCCACGTTTCATTACCCAACTAGGTAACATCATCAGTGCATGGATGGTAATGAAGCATCTGGAAGGAAACGACCAAGCTCAGAGAGCATCTATTTTACTTTCTTGGTTACTTTGCGTGATTCTTTCTATTCCTCATCGTTGCAGTACGGAAAAGTCGCCCTTGCCTGAATGTTGTTTTAACACCAGCCAATGAATTTTGCAGGCGCTCATCGATTTATCCTCTTCCTCGTGAGCCGAGATGGACCATCCTGAGCACCACGCCCATATGGCCCACATGGACCACAACGTGAGTGGCACAGCAAGGCCCACCATGGATCCTCACGCCCACCATCACCCCACGAAAAGCCCCGGACACATGCACGGCGGAATGATGGTAAGTGTAAGCTGTTGGGCTAAGCCCGAAGCAAGAAAAGACAAGGGAATTACATGCCCCTCCTTACCTGGCCTTCCATTCTCCTTCTCCTAATATCATCATCCTCTTTTAACGACCCCGTAATCCCTTGCGGGGTGGAGTCTGGGCAGCTGAATGGAGCTGAGTGTTTACTGGCTGGATGCCTTTCCTGTCGCCAATGCGGAGTTTTGTTCAGCAGATATATATTCTCATCGTGCCCTGAGAGAGAAATATCTGCCTCTATCTAGGATCGAACTCACAGATTATTTCATCATTTGTGTCCATTTTTATAATATCTCACTTTTTTTCCCCTTTTACCCCCCCTTCCCCCTTTCTCCTTTTACTTGGCATCATCTGGGTATTCTATTTTTTAACTGTTTTCTCCCCTCTATTCTCTATTTTATCTCTATACCCTTATTCCTATTTCCTTTCTAACCGATCATAAAATTTTTCCCATGTCTTGAAATACATCGACTCCTCTTCTTCATCTTTTATTCTCAGTGTTAATCTATTCATTTCTGCACATTCTAAAACGTGCAACTTTCTTAAGTGTGTGGAAAACCTGGTCCCAAGTCACTGTTTTTCAGTGTCGTCGTGACTTCAAATGGTCCCTAAAGGAATGGTGGGAATACAATGCCCGTTATTTTAAAATTGTAGACTGTAAAATTTGCAGAAAGCTGCAAACCTTTGCCCTGCTCTTCCTAATAGCATTTTGCATAGACTCCATTTCTCTCTCTCTCTGCACAGGATATGACTTTTCACTTCAGCTATCAAAACGTCCCCTTGCTGTTTTCTGGGCTCATCATCAATACACCTGGAGGTGAGTGAGGGGGAGCAGCCCGGGAGGGGGGAGCGGGGCGAATGGACGGATGAAACAGGCGGGTGAGGATCAGCGGGTAGGTGGGGTGATGTGGGCAGGGCAGCCTCATGGTCCCACGCGGACCGGATTAATCGCTTTAGCGGGCCGTATCCGGCCTCCGGGCCGTAGTTTGAGACCCCTGTTCTGGATGGCAGCAGGCTAGTTGCTCTAGAGAGTATATTTTTTAATAAATCTGGTCTCTTTTCTTCAGAAATGGCTGGAGCATTTGTGGCGATTTTCTTCCTGGCCATGTTCTACGAGGGCTTGAAGATCGGCCGGGAAAGCCTCCTCCGGAAGTCACAAGTCAGCATCCGTTACAACTCCATGCCTCTCCCGGGACCCAACGGCACCGTCTTGATGGAGACACACAAAACGGTTGGGTGAGCTCACGTCGCTGTTCAGCTACAAGACAGAGCAAAAGAAAAGGGCTCTGGATACGTAAAGTACCTGCACTCTTGTGGTATATGAGAACGCAAGAGCTGTGTTTTCTAGGGGAGCCACAGGGAAGCCGTTCTGGGGTCCTCGTTGTTAAAACTGGGCCTTGGCAAAACGTTTCCTGTTGATCCGTTTTTAAGCTTCAGTGTCCTTGATCAAGAGCAGAATTGCTGTCTCGGCAAAAGTTGAGGTAGGATTATTTTTGCAGCAGGCTAGAAACCAGGAGATGGCGATATCTAGTCCTGTCTCAGGCATGAAAGCCAGCTGGGTGACTTTGGGCCAGTCACCAGGAGACAGTGAATTCTAGTTTCCTGCCTTAGGTACGAAAGCCAGCTAGGTAACTTTGGACCGAACACCAGGAGACGATGAGTTCTAGTCTCACTTTAGCCATGAAAGCCGGCTGGGTGACTTTGGGCCAGTCACCAGGAGACAGTGAATTCTAGTTTCCTGCCTTAGGTATGAAAGCCGGCTGGGTGACTTTGGGCCAGTCACCAGGAGACGGTGAGTTCTAGATTCCTGCCTTAAGTATGAAAGCCGGCTGGGTGACTTTGAGCTAATTACCAGGAAACAGTGAGTTCTAGTCTCGCCTTAGACTTCAAAGCCAGCTGGGTGATTTTGGGCCAGTCACCAGGAGACGATGAGTTCTAGTCCTGCCTTAGCCGTGAAAACCAGCTGGATGAGTTTAGACCAGTCTTTCTTTCTCGGCCCAACCCACCTCACAGGGTTGTTGCTCTGCAGAAAATAGGAGGAAAGGACGCCTTAGATACGTCCCGCTGCCTGATTTCTAAAAACGAGAGAGGCCAGAAATAAACTTAAGGTTTTTGAACTTTCCAAACCGTAGCGCGTTTATCTTCATTTTCCTTTCTTCCGTCCGGTTAGCCAACAGATGCTGAGCGTCCCTCACCTCTTCCAAACCGTCCTTCACATCATCCAGGTCGTGGTCAGCTACTTCCTGATGCTCGTCTTCATGACCTACAACGCTTATCTCTGCATCGCCGTAGCCGCCGGCGCTGGCGCGGGCTACTTCTTCTTCAGCTGGAAAAAAGCCGTCGTGGTCGACATCACGGAGCATTGCCATTAACGCTTCTCCTTGCCACGCCACCTTCCCCCCTCCCTCCTTCACCCTCCCCAAAGGACCAGGTTTACTAGAAGCATGCCAAGGAAAGCTGTGGGACGCCCTCCGGTTTCCGGGGGGAGAGAGGCACCCTTGTGCCCCCTGCTCCTCTCTTCCCCAAAAGCTTCAGGTCGCCGGGGAGGGGAAGACTTCTGAGCCACGGTTAAAAGAGTCGGGCGGACAGCTAAGGCCACCCACTCAAAACGATGGATGGATGAAACATTGCACACTTTTAGTCCAAAGTCCTTTTTCCAGGTCCTTTTTTTCGTACTTCAGCAGCCTCTGTTTCTAGGAAGAAAGGAACGCAGAACCTGCTTTTTCCTTCGAGAGCACACACAATCACAACTTCTCCGAGGCCAGTAGCTTCGATCGGCAATCTAGCCGAGTGGCAACGCTACCCCGTCCCTCTTTCCTTGAGAAGTCAGCTCTGCTTCGCTCTTGGTCAATGGCCAACTGCCGTTTTACAACTGCCAAAAAAAAAAAACGGTTGTGGTAGATTGGGTTCTAGGAAGCCATTGTCTTTTTGGCCCGGGAAGGTTCTAGAATCTAGGGCCTCTCCTTGCGGAGATGTTCTGGGGTGAAAAGGAACCGATTTTGCCGATTTACAGTACCCATTTCTTAGCCGTCGACGGTGACACGCCGATGAAAAATAATGGGGAAACAAGTATGAATTTTTTTAAAAACATTTATATTTTAAATAAACCTGCAGTACAAATGTTTTTAGCTTTTTTTTTCCTGATTTTCAAGCTGGCCTAAATATTTTTTTTTTAAAAAATATTAAACCTAATCGTCATGCCCTTAAGACCCCAGTGGCTTCAAACAAAGCTGGGATACACGTGTTTGCCATCTCTCCTCCTCTACCTGGCGATTCTTGGTTCCTGTAAATTAAAATTACTTTTGAATCATGCCTGTGAGTATTTTAGGCATACCTGGATGGCCATTGGGAGACCCACAAGTTCCCCCCCAATTGTCCTGTAGGAATTTGCACGGTGGGATGATACCACTCTTCTCTTGCAAGGAAGCTAAGAGGCAGGGCTGAGGCTGCCGGGCCGTGTAGGAGCAGTTTCTCGCTTTTTAATTCCTTCCGTAGAAGGAAGAGAGTACAATCGGGATTAACGTCCGTGCGGAAAAATCAAACTTTTTTTTTGTTTTTTAAACCGACTGCCTGAGAGGGGAAAAGTACATCCAAGCTGGAGAACTGCAACCACAGGGAATCAAAGCATCCGTGTCAGCTGATGGTAAATTTGCAAGAGGCTGGCATTTTTGCGTTTTCAACCAAGCCAAAAAAATAATAATTGTACTGCCTGCCAGGCTCGATTACAATCGCAGCGCTCGGAGCGCAGAAACGAAAGGATGGCGTTTTTCCAAACAGCATGTGCCGAGTAGTAAACCGGTAGCTGATTCAGCCTTTTCCACCCACTTACCCATCCCGCCTCACCGTACAATCAAGTTTTCAGTCTCTCTCTCTCTCTCTACCGATCTCTTTTAGAAGGCGCAAAGACTGGATTTATGATACATTTCATCTCGGCCGCGAAGTCGCGTCGCAGTTCCGCCGACATCTTTGGTTAATTCCGTGGCGCTTCAACCACGGTTAACTTCCTCGGCCGCTTAACACATCCCGTCCCGTCTGCTTGCTTCTATCCATCCTGTGTAAACCCAGAGAAGGGAGTGGCTCCTTGGTTAATAATGAGCCTGACCATATAGAGACCGAGGCCAGCATTAGCAATCGGATATCTTCCGTGAAAAGTGGGAAGGGGGGAGAAATTCCAAAATCACCTGACAGCAACTTTCCCTTGTCTTTGTGGACATAAAACCTTGTCTCGTTTACTCGCTGACCGTAACCCAGTATTGTTTTTCCGTAGCTGTTATTCTAGGCTTCCTCCTTCCTCCGTTGACAGTATAACCATGAAAAATAAAATAAAATGTGCCTTAGCTATATCGCTTTCATCGGGCCGTGTAGTGGTGCCATGTAGGATGTCTTGTTTTAAATCCCTGGCTGATGGAAGTATATCCATCGGCGATCATGTGAGTGCTAATGATTACGCCTGTTGTATCTTCTAAAAGTACAGAGTGTCTTAGCCGAAAATGATGGACGCGCGATAACGTTTACAACTACCCTACGTCGTTCAGTAGAATAAAGAGATTCAACCCTTCATCTGGAATTGGTCTTATTTTTATTTTTCCTTCCCCCCCCACCTCGACAATACCCTTCTTTCGTACCGCTATCCATTTCCAAACCGGAGAAACCGGTTGGCACTTTAACACAGCTCCGACAGCGAGGAGGCTGGTGTGGTGCTGCGCCAGCAGCCTGTGCAGCTGGCACTCGAGTCGGACAGTGAGGAGGCTGGAGAAGATGTGGTGCCAGAGGTGGGGATTCAGCCGGGGCCTTCAGAACCTCCAGAAGCTCCCATAAGTGAAGAGGAAGAAGAGGAGGAGCCTCTTCTCGATGCACGGGCGCGCAGAGCTGCCAAAAGGCAGGAGTGGCTCCTCAGGAGGAGGTCTCCTCGAGAGTAAGACTTGGGGCTAATTGTCCACTCCCTTAGCCTATTTAAGAAGGAACGCCAACTGAAGCAATTTGCAGGGAACAACTTCGTTCACCCTCCTTTGCGTCTTGATTTTAGTTCTCTGCAAATTGCTTCTGGGCTTTCTGCCAATCCTAGTAAGATTACGGTTATTTATTCTTTGGAGTCTTTGTAGGCTGTTAAGAAAGTTAATTAACAGCCTTTGTTTGAAAAGGACTGATTTAATTTAGTAAACTAAGGTTTGTACAGACTTTGCGTGTGCTGCGTTCTTTGGGGTCCGTAGCTGGGGCAGACCACCCTACGATAGCTCCCAATTTAATGCGTTCGGCGTTAGAAACGGGGTACGATGCACGGTGAGGAAAATAAGCTAATTTGCAAGTAGCAAAATCCCTGCTAGGAAAAGGCGAGTCTTATGAATTCATCCTTAAGATGATTGGAGGGAGGAAGAAGAGGCAGGTCTGCCCCACACCCCACAGGTGGTGTTACAGAAATAAAACACTTTTCCCCTACTGCAGTATATACTGTATTTGTAGTATATATGCAGTATCTACACTATGCAAACTTCTGGAAACATCTGGAAATGTTTGCGTGCAGAGGTTATGCTAGGACAGCTCTTGCCAGAATCTTGAACATTGCCGTTGAAAGATTTAAGGCCTCTGGTTGCAAATGGGAAGTAACCATAACAGAGTTGGAAGGGACCTTTGGAGGCCATCTAGTCCAACCCCCTGCTCAAGATTTAAGTAAAGATATCCAGGGCAGGAGGGTGTCTGAAGGCAGCCTTCAGGTGCTTGCGGGGGGTAAAAAAAAACACAACCTCATTCTTTAGAGAATAGAAAAGTCTTTTTATCTTCCGGAGGGATAAAAATCCTCACGGCTCCATCTGTCCTCATCGTAAATCAGCTTGTCATAATCTCCCCTAAGCGTGCTTCGCGGACAAATACCGCTCCATCGCTCTAGAATTCGAAATTCCCAAACTGTGACGAACGGTTGCTGGGTTTAGGCTGAGGTTTGTAGCCGATCCGGTCGTGAATCACCTGCTCCCAACTCTTGTGATCGGGGTTCAAGGCCAGGGCCCCTTCACCGTCATTGGTCGCCACCATCTCGACCTCTTCGCGCTGCTTTTTATGTGTCTGGAAAAAAAAAAAACCAAGAAGGTACAGATACTTCAGGAAACACAACTGCAACTCTTTATGTCATACATTTAAATTCGCTGAATAATCAAATGCTTTGGAAACGGCCATGAAAGAGGGGGGGGAATCAGAAATACTGTATAAGGTAGATACTCTGTGTGTGTGTGTGTGTGTGTGTGTGTGTGTGTGTGTGTGTGTGTATGTATGAGATGATAGATACTGTAGATGGATGAATAGATACTGTAGATAGATAGAAAGGAGGGAGGGGTAGGTAGGTAGGTGGGTGGGTAGATAGATGGATAGAAGGGAGGGATAGAAGGATAGAAGGGAGGGATAGGTAGGTGGATGGGTAAATAGATGGATAGAAGAGAGGGATAGGTGGGTGGGTAGATAGATGGATAGAAGGGAGGGATAGATAGGTACAGATACTGTAGATGGATAGATACTGTAGATAGATAAATACTGTGGATAGATGTATAGATAGATATACTGTATAAGATAAGATACTCTCTGTGTGTGTGTGTGTGTGTGTGTGTGTGTGTATATGAGAGAGAGAGAGATGATAGATACTGGATAGATAGATACCGTAGATGGATGAATAAATACGATAGATAGATAGATAGATAGATAGATAGATACTGTAGATGGATGAAAAATACGATAGATTAGATAGATAGATAGATAGATAGATAGATAGATAGATAGATAGATAGATACTGTAGATGGATGAATAAATACGATAGATTAGATAGATAGATAGATAGATAGATAGATAGATAGATACTGTAGATGGATGAATAAATACGATAGATTAGATAGATAGATAGATAGATAGATAGATAGATAGATACTGTAGATGGATGAATAAATACGATAGATAGATAGATAGATAGATAGATAGATACTGTAGATGGATGAATAAATACGATAGATTAGATAGATAGATAGATAGAGATAGATAGATAGATACTGTAGATGGATGAATAAATACGATAGATTAGATAGATAGATAGATAGATAGATAGATAGATAGATACTGTAGATGGATGAATAAATACGATAGATTAGATAGATAGATAGATAGATAGATAGATAGATTAGATAGATAGATAGATACTGTAGATGGATGAATAAATACGATAGATAGATAGATAGTGTAGATGGATGAATAGATACTGCAGATAGATACACAGATACTGTAGATGAATAGATACTGTAGATACATGATAGATGATGGAAAGAAAGAAAGAAAGAAAGATTAAGAAAAAGGAAGGAAGGAAAAATGTATCTGGAATGCCAAAAACTGCAGATCCTTGGGGAAAGGCTGCCTCTGAGCATGTGCAGAATTTTCCTAGGGCCATCAGCGCGGCCATTTCCAAAGCCACTTTCCCCCCCCCCCTCTCCCCCCTCCCTGAAAGCCCCTTTAAAACCCTTTCCCCCGGGAGGGGGGCCCTCTGCGCGGGGGGAGTGGGCCCCCGGGCTCTTTTTTTTTTTTTTTTTTTTAAAGCTCTGGGGCTGGGGACTCCCCAGAGGGTCTCTCCTCCTCCTCCCCACCACCACCGCCACCCCCTACCTCCAGCTCCTTGCGGGCCCCCTCGAACTCCTCGATGTCGTCCAGCTTCAGCTCCAGCCGGGTCGGCTTCCTCCGCAGCATCCTCCCGCTGGCGGGTCCAGCGGCTCCTGCAGGCGCGCATGCGCGACACCTTCCCTTCCCAAGCCTCCCACTCCCCGCCGCCTGCCGGAAACGCGCCATAGAGGCTCGCCTAGAGCGGCCGACTCGCCTGCGGGAGACGCCATTGGCTCAGGCGCTCCCGCCGGATGGGGAGAGAGAGAGAGAGAGAGGAGCAAGCGGAAGGGAGGTCGTTGCCCCGGAAGTGCTTCTAGGGAGCTCATTTATCCTGACGGACCGGCTGTAAAGGGGCGGCTATGGCTTTGCCGAGGGGCTCCACGGTGGGTCAAAGCGGGGGAGGGGCGCGGGGGACGCGGGTGAGTGGGTGGTCTCGGTCTGTTTAGCTGGGGAAGGGGGCTGCGCTTCCTGCCAAGAATGAAATAATGACGTGAAATAAATTACTCTCCTCTCCTTTCCAACCGTTACTTTTCAAACTTTGGACTACAATGCCCATTGTCCACAGCCAGGCCCCCCATTCATGCCCAGGCTGGATAAAAAGGGGTCTTTCCAACGGCCTCCCCTCCTCTTTTACCTTCAGCCATTCATCATTATAAGCAGGAGGCTGCTAAGAATTTATTTATTATTATTATTATTATTATTATTATTATTATTATTTTATTATTATTATTAATTATGCTAAGGATTAATTTTATTTATTATTATTAATATTAATTATTACTATTATTACCACTATTACTACTATTTTATTTTCATTACTACTGCTGCTACTACTATTATTTTATTACTAATATTTTATTACTACTATTATTTTATCACTACTATTATTACCATTATTATTAATTAATTATTAATTGTTACTATTATTATTATTATTACTATTATTACCACTATTACTACTATTTTATTTTCATTACTACGGCTGCTACTACTATTATTTTATTACCACTATTATTTTATTACCACTATTATTTTATCACTACTATTATTACCATTATTAATTGTTGTTACTATTATTACTATTACTATAATTGCCACTATTACTACTACTAAAATAATAAAATAATATTTTATTATTACTACTACTGCTACTATTATTTTATTACTATTATTATTATTTTATTACTACTATTATTACCATTATTATTAATTGTTATTATTACTATTACTATTATTACCACTATTACATTATTATTTTATTTTTATTATTGCTGCTGCTGCTACTACTATTATTTTATTACTATTTTATTACTACTATTACTATTTTATTACTACTATTATTATTACCATTATTATTAATTTATTAATTATTATTTGTTGTTCTATTAAACTGTTCGCTGCCTGTCTCGCCCTGGGGCTACTCCACGCAGCTGACAGTAACAAAAAGAAAGAAAAATGAAAACAGCAGCAGAATAATACAAGAATGAAGTCAACGGGAACGGGGGCATGAGGCTTATTTGTCCTATGACCCGGTCCGACCCTGTTTCAATACAGGTAGTCCTCAACGTACGACCACAATTGAGCCCAAGTGAGACAGTTGTGAATTTTGCCTCATTTTGCGACCTTCCTTGCCACAGATTTTTAAACAAATCACCCCTTGTTACATTAGTAACACGGTTGTTAAGTGAATCTGGCTTCTCCATTGACTTTTGCTTGTCAGAAGCTCCCAAAAGCGGATCACCTGAGCCCGCGACTCTGCAACCGCCATAAATGTGAGTCCGTTGCCAAGCGCCTGAATTTGTGACCGCAGTGGTCGTAAGTATAAAAAATGGTCACAAGTCATTTTTTTCCCAGCGCCGTTGTAACTTCAAACGGTCACTAAATGAGCTGTTGTAAATCGAGGACTACCTGGAAAGACACAGGAGGTGAAAGTACAAAACATAAAATACAAAAATCTAAAATATTATCGACGTAGGTCTAGATTACGGATGTAATTTTTTGCTTCATTTGTCACGGCAGGGAAATCAGCAAAATCCCCGCGAGAGGCTCCGTTTTCGCACTCTTGACACTGTAGGTTGGCTAGTTTGTATTTTGGGGCCCGCATCACAATTTGGGGGTGGTATTTTGTGATGGTATATAGAGGGTGACTGTGCATCTACCATGGCCAGTGTGAATTCGGTTCAGTGTGGCCCATATCTGGTCAAATCTGAGTGGTTTTAAAAAAAGACATACACAACCACAACGAGAATCATGTCAATGTGATAATTTAAAAGATGGATGGGCAACGGGGGAGGAGGGGGGAGTCTGCCATCAATATGCTGGGATGTTGGACTACAACTCCCATCATCCCCTTGGGGCTGAGGATTTGCCCTGTGGGCGACAACCCTGGATCGTCACACCTTGGTTTTTCTTCGCAGGGGACAAAAACGAAGGCGTCCGATGATGGAGATGCCCCTCCTGCTAAGAAGGCCCCCATTTTCTACGGGAGCCTGGAGGAGAAAGAACGCGAACGGATCCTGAAGGGGGAGTCGGGGATGATGGGCAAAGAAGCTGTCAAAGCAGCCATTGAGGCTGGCAACATCAATATCTCCACCGGTAAGACGATGCCCACCGGTGACCAGTGGGGTGGGGTTTTTTTCCCCTCCTTTGAGTTTATTATAGGAAACATACAGTGGAGTACCGTATTTTTTGGACTATAAGACACACTTTTTTGTCTCCCAAAAGGGGGTGAAAATGTCTGTACGTCTTATAGACTGAATATTGCCGAAGCCCTGCCCACCTGCCAGCCATTTTTTGGCCTCCGCACGACTTTTTTTCAGCCCATTTTCTAGGCTTTTTTTGGCCCTTTTGAGGCTTTTTTCAGCTTGTTTTCAGGGCTTTTGTCGGCCCATTTTTGAGGCTTTTTGGGCCCTTTTGAGGCTTTTTTTTTTTTTTGGCCTCTTTTCGGGGCCGAAAAAAGTTCCAAAAATGGGCTGGGCTGCAAAAAGCCTCGAAAATGGACCGAAAAAAGCCTTGAAAATGGGCTGAAAAAGCCTTGAAAACGGGCCAAAAAAAGCCTTGAAAACGGGCTGAAAAATGTCCCAAAAATGGGCTGAAAGAAAGCCTTGAAAATGGGCTGAAAAAAAAAGCCCCAAAAATGGAATGAAAAAAAGCCTTGAAAATGGGCTGAAAAAAAGCCTTGAAAATGGACTGAAAAAAAGCCTTGAAAATGGGCCAAACAAAGCCCTGAAAACAGGCCGAAAAAAGGGAGGCCAAAATCTTTTTTTTTTATTGTTGTTTTCCTCTTCTAAATTTAGGTGAGTCTTATAGTCCAAAAATTATGGTATACAGTTTCTCTGGTCTTCCTCACCTGTCATTTCCCCCTCCCTATTTCCCATCCCAGTTCACACATAGCTTTATTGCCCGTTTATCCCACCCACCTTCCTTTCTAGCCTCTGATGGCAGGATGTTCTGCACCCAGCCTTTGCAAGCAATGAGAAACCAATTAACGAGTAAAACAAACCTCTTTTTTTAAAAAAAAGAGGGCAGGAACAGGCTTTATTCGGGTTGCATAGACAGAACCAAAAATAATTAGTCACAGAGCCTTTTCCCCTTCTGGAGCAGGGCACGGACGGTCTCTGTTCACATGAGAACTCAAGATACAAAGTCCTTTCAAGAATCAAGCAGAAACAGTCCCTGTTCATACCGGCTGAGGCAAATTCACTGCCTATTATTTCCCAGCAGGGAGACTCAATTGGCACCTCAAATACAGAGCAGTTATTCCCAACAAACCTGGTTCCAGCTAAGGAATTTGACTTGATTGATGTACGGTTGTCTGCGACAAACAGGCCCCTCCCAAACCCCTTCTATTTATTTCCCAGCCAGGGAGGGGCTGGCTAGCATCCTCGACTTCTTTTCCCCGAGAGCCGGCTTATTGCTTTCCGTTGCTCTCCTCTCCTCTTTACGCATACGTGCGTCTGGGATGGGCCCCATCTGTTCCTCCCCCTAACTCAGCTCAGGCCCCGAAGACAGCTGCCTCTCCACTTGGGTGGGCAGACAGAAGGTCCCGGCTCTACATCTGTCTCTGATGCTGTTTCTTATCAGAGCCTTCCACAAGCTCCAAAGCTGGCCCAGGCTCCCCCTCCTCCTTATCTGACTAGCTCTGCTGGCAGCCGAGAGGCCACAACACAGGATGCCTGACATAATACTGAATTTCTCTTCTGGGGCTAGGGGAAGTTTTTGACCTGGATGACCACATCAGTGAACGTCAAGCAGAAGTCCTGGCTGAATTTGAGCGCCGGAAACGGGCGAGGCAAATCAACGTTTCCACGGATGACTCCGAAGTCAAGGCCTGCTTACGAGCGCTCGGAGAACCCATAACTCTGTTTGGAGAAGGCCCAGCCGAAAGGAGGGAGAGGTGAGAAATCAGGGTATTTAAATTGAACTGACCCTCCTTGTCTTTGGCAAATTTAAAAAGCGTTTTCACGTCGACGTGTCCTCCTTGCCAGGCTACGTAACATTCTCTCGGTCGTTGGCCCCGACGCCTTGAAGAAAACCAAGAAAGACGACGAAAAATCTAAGAAGTCCAAAGAAGAGGTGAGTTTGAGAAGAGCGGAGGTGGCGCAGTGGTTAGAGTGCAGTACTGCAGGCTACTTCAGCTGACTGCTAGCTGCAGTTCAGCAGTTCAAATCTCACCAGGCTCAAGGTGGACTCAGCCTTCCGTCCTTCCGAGGTGGGTAAAAGGAGGACCCAGATTGTTGGGGCCAAGAGGCTGACTATCTATCTATCTTCTATGATCCATCCATCCATCACCGCTCTCTCTATCATCATCTCTCTCTCATCTATGATTTATATCTGTCTGTCTGTATCTATCATCCATCCGTCCATCTCTCTCTCTCTCTCTATCATCAATATATCTATCTATCTCTCTATCTATGATCTATCTATCTATCTATCTATCTATCTATCTATCTTATATATCTATCTATCGTATCTATTATCTATCTTTTATCTATCTATCCTATCTGCCATGGTGGCGCAGTGGTTAGAATGCAGTATTGCAGAATAATTTTGCCCACTGCCAGCAGTTCGATCCTCCCCGGCTCAAGGTGGACTCAGCCTTCCATCCTTCCGAGGTCAGTAAAATGAGGACCCGGATTATTGGGGGCTCTGTAAATCGCTTA